ATCGGTAGTAGATCCTTCGGTAGAAGCAGGCTCTTCAGTAGGAGTAGCCTCTTCGGTTGAAGTAGACCCATCGGTAGTAGATCTTTCGGTAGAAGCAGGCTCTTCAGTAGGAGTAGGCTCTTCGGTGGTAGTACGCCCATCGGTAGCAGATTCTTCGGTAGAAGAAGGCTCTTCAGTAGGAGTAGGCTCTTCGGTGGTAGTAAGCCCATCGGTAGTAGATGCTACGGTAGAAGCAGGCTCTTCAGTAGGAGTAGGCTCTTCGGTGGTAGTAGGCCCATCGGTAGTAGATTCTTCGGTAGAGGCGGGCTCTTCAGTAGTAGTGGGCTGTTCGGTGGAAGTAGGCCCATCGGTAGTAGATTCTTCAGTAGAAGCAGGCTCTACGGTGGAAGTAGGCCCATCGGTAGTAGATTCTTCGGTAGAAGCAGGCTCTGCAGTAGGAGTAGACTCTTCGGTGGAAGTAGGCTTATCGGTAGTAGATTCTTCGGTAGAAGCAGGCTCTTCAGTAGTAGTAAGCTCTTCGGTTGTAGTAGGCCCATCGGTAGTAGTTTCTTCGGTGGAAGCAGGCTCTTCAGTAGGAGTAGGTACTTCCGTGGTAGTGGAGTCTTCAGTAGTACTGGCGTCTACACTACTTGGTGGTTCTTCACTTGTAGTAGGCCCTTCACTAGGAGTTGGCTCTTCGGTGGTAGTAGGCCCATCCGTAGTAGTAGTAGGTATTGCAGTGGTTGTGGATTCTTCGGGAGTACCAGGAGCTACACTACTGCTTGGTTCGTCACTAGTAGTCGGTTTTTCGCTTGAAGTTGGTTCTTCGGTGGTTGTTGGTTCTCTCGTAGTACTAGGTTCTTGACTGCTCGATGGTTCCCCACTGGTTGTAGGTTCTTGTGTGGTAGGCGGTCCTGCAGTAGTGGTACTGGGTTCTTCGCTGGTAGTGGTTGTTGAAGTAGAAGCGGTGGAGGTACTTGTACTCGAGGAAACTGTGCTGCTTTCGGTCTCACCAGATGACACTACACAGTAACCAGCACTTTGACTGAAAACGTATCCACTTGAGCACGATAGATATCTAATAGTGTAACTGCCATCTTCATTTAGGTAACAACCATAAAAAGTGGCCGTATTGTCGATGAATGCAAAGAAACCGGGTGCTTTGCAAGGATTCTTAACTACCGCCGCGTTCGCCGCGGCAATGGCCGCGAGCAAACCAAGAAAAATTAATTTCATTTCGTTCGTTTATTCGCTATGAGTTTTTATTTATATATTTAATTTAACCAAAAAATTTTAAATTGTTAATTTGTCCGTGGAGTTTAGAACCGTTTCGTTTAGTCGTTAAAAAATAACTGCCTTATGAGAGTTTTTATTAGCATTTATATAGAGCTTCCTAAGTGCTTAATGTTTAACAAATCAAATTTCTTGTGATTACAACTCATTAACTGATAACGTTGTGTGGCGATAAACTGATTTGCTACATATGTTTTCTTTATTTGCGTATGTTTATTTTTCATATACATACAAACATATATCCTCACCTACTGTTTTTTCAAGCGAAATTTAAAATCACCTTAAATTGGCTATTACTTTTTTGATTGCTTTTGTTCGGAAAATCGCTTTGTGGAATTTCGCAGGTGCTGATTAGGAGAAAATAAAAGTTATTTCTGTTGCTGAGAATAGTTTTCTAATCGTTCGCTCTACATAATTACATAATGCCGTTGTTGCGGTCATTCTACTTTATTTTATTTTTAAGCTCATTTCTATCAAACAAATACATACATACGTACATTCATCATTTTAGTATATATGTACATACATGTCAATGATATAGCGTACAAAAACCTTTAGCAGCTGAAAAGCTTTGGCTATCCGCACATTTCATGCCAACCGCTTTATAATCTCCTTTCTTACTTAAGCATACGATATAGTCATAGAAGTTTTCTGCGGCTGCAGCAAAACTCCCCACCTGAGTACAATTGAAGTTGACCTGTTCTTCTAGTGATATGCCCTGTAATTTGGCCTGTTCTTTTGCTTCTTTTTCAGCTTTCTTCAGCAACTCTTTTTCATATTTGCGTTGTATTTTCTCACGCAACTTTGCCTCTTTGAGTTTTACCTTCTCCTCCGCTTTCATAATTTTTACCTCCTCACGCACGCACTCCTCATCCGGCGACTTACTCAAATACAAATCGTAATTCAGCGATAAGTCATGCAAACTTGTCATATCTACGAAACATTTACCCAACTCTGGCGTAAAGATCTGGCCATTGCCACACTTTACGTGATAGACGCGTAATCCGTTGCTTAAACGAGATGCCACACACCAATAATAGGATGAGTTATCGGTCGAAGCGGCAAATGTGCCCTCTGCGTTGCAATAAAATATGCCGGTGCATGGTGAGAGGTCACGAGAACAACGCAAAAGCGTCCTATCGAAAGCTTGGCCGTTTGGACAATTCTTTGGTTGTATTTGAAGTTCCCCTATGGCGCTTGGTGTACAAGTAAAGTATGAACGGCAGTCATTTTCCGCTGCAAAGGTACCTAGTGTGGCACATAATTTTTGTGTTGGAATTCTAGGCGCTTCAGTTGTGGTGTTATCATTCTTTGTTACCGATTCTTCTGGCGTTTCAGTTGTGTGATCGGAAGCGATTTCTGTTTGAGGTTCCTCCGTTAGGGTGACATCACTGCTTGACTCTGTAACTTTCACTTCATCCGTGTTATTTAAACTATTACTCACCGCCTCAGTCGTAGTTTCACTTGTATCAAGTATCGTTAGCTCTACAGTAACTGTGTTATCCTTGACTTCTATTCCTTTAGCTAATTTAGTTGCATTCACATCGTCCAGCTCAAGCCCATTTTCACGCTTAAACTCGTCTCCGTTCACCAAATTTGTTGTAGTCTGAAGTGCTACTGTGGCCAGCACATTTTTTTCGTCCGGAGAATCCTCAGTTTGCCCGATTTCTGCATTCAAAGTATAACTTTGCGACTCAATTTCAATGTCCGCTGCAATATTCTCCGACACAAATTCTGATGGACTGTCCACTTGTACTCCTATTTCAAGTTCAGTATCCACACTTTCTGCTTGCTCAAAGTTAGGGACGTTATCACTATTACTAACACCGAAGTTCAAGGCACCTTCTGTGATAAAATTTTCTGTCTCTGATTCAACTAAAAATAATGAAAATGAGGAGTATAAAAGCCCATGATTTAAAACCTACTTACTTTCGACACCCTTTCTGTCAATATCCTTTGATATAGTCCCCTCTCCATAGCCGTCGGCTGTCAAGTTAACTTCTTGTGCCAATGTCTTCTGTGTTAACAACTGCAATGGAAACTCAATGTTCAAAAGTGTATAGTCTTTAAGATATTGAACCAATTTTTTGTTTAACGTACCAAAAGACAGCTGCACAATAAAAATAATACCAATATTTTCCGCTTCATGGTATATGTATATATTTATATATGTATATATGTATATATCTTCTTTCCAATGTAAAATTTTATTATTAATTAAGGATATATGTATTCTATATATATAAATTCAAAATCCGGCGCCTAAACGATGGATGCGGCAATTCTTCTAAGCAGTTTCTTACTGAGATGCGTCTGATGCAAGAGCACTTTATATGTATTTAATGGGAAAAGATTTTAGGTGATCCAAGGTTTCGTTTCGAACGATATAAAAATTATAGTTCGGTAGAATCTAAGGTTTCGGAATGTTTATCAATTTGAAAAATTTAAAGACCGTAGAGCAACGCTGGAATTGACAGTTCCAATCTTGAATAGCATGGCGAAGAGACGTAGTACCGAAAAGTTGAAGAAGAACTTTTGCCGCCAAATGGCATTCTTTTCGCACTGAAAAGAGCGCACAATTTTGGCATATCCTGTATATTTCAAAAATTGCATTTCTCTAATTGCATAATCCATAATCTCGAAAAACTATACAAAACTTAATGTTTATACGAAATTCAAATTCACAAACAGACTTTCCGATTTATTAAGATTACGCTAAGTACTGCATTCGAATACAACTTGATCCTATTAGATATCTTTAGCAAATATGAAAACTATGTCATGTCATCATCTCACGCATATGTACTATATACATACATTAGGGTACATCATCAACAAAAAAACGTTGAGGTTTTTCCATCGGAATTATAAAATATATTATATTTTAAGACTTTCGCTAAAATATTTCGTAAAAGCATTAAGATTTACGTGAGCTAGACCAATTTGAAAATCCCTCCAAAAATCTCATTATTTTGATTCCGTTGATCCAATTTTTAAACATTTTTATGCAGACCTTTTAAGCTTAAACTCTTCTATTATCTGAGGTGATTTTTGAGGAAAAAATATTTTAAAAAACTAATTTTATTTATAAAAAGCTCGATTTTGGAATTATGTATTTTAAAATCTTAGTAGTTTTCCCAAATATTTTGGCGGAAGTTTTAAAATATAATATATATTTTATATATCCGATAGAGAAACAGTAGCAATTTGTTTTTTGTATGGAGAGTGAGCACCCTAATATACATAAATATGTGTAACTATTTACAACATATTTTTCGAATGGAACTTTTTCGCTGCATTCTAACATGATTCTAGTTGTTTACCACGCGTATTGACATAATGCGTGCATTTTTAAGGTGTAAACAGCTACTGTTTACTGCAAATTTTTAGAAGATTTTGCACAAGAAAATAACTTCCTCACTTCCTCTGAACTTGTTTTTAATTTACTAGTTGCATTAAAGAATTTTTATCACCTGTTTAGCTACTTTTAATTATTGAGTCACGCAATAACTTATGAACATACATAGGTGTTTTAAATTGTTATCTACGTACTAAGTGCTAGAGTATGAGAAAATCCATAAGTGGTTAGCGAGAAGGCATACATATTTTTACAATATAGATTTTATAATTTTGGCCGCAAGAGCTCAATATGTACTGAATATCATTTCGATCTACTACATGCATTATAACTCAAAAATACACGAAGTTTTTCCCCTTATTATCGTCGAACCTTAGTTTGGACACTTACTTTAATCAAAGACTAGTTACACTGGATCACAAATTTTAGTTCGGTTTTTGTACTCCAGACGCCACTATCCAATTTTTATGTAGAATTGCTCGGTGATTCCGAAAATTAAGTTCATTTTTTGAGAAACTATCAGTAAGATATACGTGATTAAGTGGAACCACTCTTTCAATAAGCTGAATAACGGTAAATTGCAAATATCTCGTATCCATCGAAAAAAAAAATTAACTCGATTTTCCGAATCCCCGAGCGATTCTGCTGAGGAATTGGATAGTGGCATTCATAGAACATTTTTGCTGTAAACCAGTGTTATTTTCAAGTTATAATAATTAATCAAATTAGAGAAAGACAGACACAATTAATCTTTACTTTTCCCATTCAAATGGCTATCATTATCTACCATACTGTGCTACGTCGTTTTGTTTTCTATTAACGAACCCTCCGAAAACCACTCCTTGCTTGACAATGATTTCCGCTCATAAGAACTTCTTTATCGCATTTCTAAATGACAGGAAATAATATTTTTAATATTACCACATCAATCTATTTAAGCAAATAAATATTTTTAAAATTGTTGTTTCTGCATCTCCATGTTTTGCATGCACATGTACATTAGACCGAACCAGAAAAAAAGTTCGCCGTACACAAGGTATTTTTTCAATGCTATTTCGAACAAAAACGAACGTTTTTATGTATGCATCGCCTTTTTACATTTTTTGTCATATCTTCGGGAACTGCGGCCGGAGGAATATATTTTGTTCCAATGTTCATTAACCTCAAGCACCTCGTTCTAGTACTTACCTGACAACCCTAATGTTTGTTAAGCTCGCTGAAACACTTTCAACTTTTTAACCGACTTCCAAAAAAGGAGGTTATCAGTTCGTCTGAATATATATATTTTTTTTACGTATGTTACCGCATAACTTTGGACCACGTCAACCGATTTCGATAATTCGATTTATATGAGAATTGAACTCGGATTTTTTTTGCTAAAAATTACTTATTTTTATTCATTTCTTCGGTATTCACAGTCGGATCTTAAAGTGTAAGACATCAATGCTTTTGTTTAGGGGAAACATTTTTTTATTACAAAGTTTATTAGCGTCTATATTTACCCATCAGATCCCAGTTTTTACCACCCAAACTCTTCAAAATCGCTAAACTAAAGAGACTTTTTTTATTATTCGAGTAGTACTAAAATTTGTTTATTGCCGAATGTAAAAACGCGACCCCTGGATTCGGCAAAAAAAAATGTTTTCGAAGTGGCCTTGCAAAAATATTTTAGACACGAACGTGTACGATGGTGTTTTTTTTTTGCCTGTCCGGTGGGACGGTCTAATGTAGATGCATATACTATGTATGCATATAGATTTTTGTATCAAAAACTTTGTTATCATTGCCAATCTATTTTGTTATCATTTATTTTTCGCGGAAAAATTCAATATTCGTCGAATGTGTTTTTAACTTGTATTTTGCAAGCTTTTTCTCTTCGCTGCCACACATCGATAAGTAAAAATATACCGCAGAGCATATTTCGGCTAAGAAATAGTTTCGCATAAAAGTAAGTCCAAGAGGGCATGAGAATATCTGTCATGAAAGATAAGAAATACAACATATATTATATATGGGTCCTTCCATACAATATTTTCACCTCAATATTTTTTTTTTTTTGTGAAATATATTTTTTTACAGAAGACGCGTATTTTTTTATTTCGTCATGATATTCGAAAATCTTAAAAAAAAAAATCCCGAAATTTTGAACTCACGGAGAAGTATCTTTTTTTAATTGTTTGCAGTTGATAAACTATTTGTCGAAGAAAATCAGTTAAGGTTGTGAGATAGATTAAAATAAAAAAACATTTTGCATTCAAAAATCGCATTTTCTTATTTTTATTTTTTGATTAACCTCATCATGTTTGATTTTTATTTTTTTCAACCTGAATAGTTGTCAAACTTTGTGGAGTAAGCTGTAAAAATTTGAGAATGGAAACACCAAAACTGTAGAAGTTACGAGTTTTTTCATACCTGCGTACATTAAGTTTATATTACAGCTTACTCTATAAAGTTTGACAACTATTCAGGTTGAAAAAAATAAAAATCAAACATGATGAAGTCAATAAAAAGAAAAATAAAAAATAAATAAATGCAATTTTTTAAAGCAAACATTTTTTTATTTTATTCTATTTAACTGATTTTCTCCGACAACTAGTTTATTAACTGCAAACAATTAAAAAAAAGATACTTCTCCGTGAGTTCAAAATTTCGTGATTTTTTTCGAGATTTTCGAACATCATGACGAAATAAAAAAATAGGTGTCTTCTTTTTTTCGATAAAGAATATAAAAAAATATATTTCACCCCAAAAAATATTGAGGTGTAAATATTGTATGGAATGACCCATATGTACTTGGTAGTAGTACATACACTTGTGGTCAGCTGATTAAATCAAATGACATTTTGGCTAGTTTTGGCTATTTTTACCTCCCTTTTATTAGCTCGGGATGAACTATGTAATATTGATGCGCCTAAAAGATGCCGCGATTTCTATTCTCAAGTTACATACCTGATGACAGTACGAAAGGAAATTATAGTAGCGAGGTTTTAGTTTTTTAAACTATAATTTTATCCTTTTGTTTATTAAATGTTTATATTTTTTTATCTAACCAGCGCCGCATAAATTCACACTTCAAACTTCGTAGAAAAATTATGAAAATTCAACAAACTTTAACATTTGCACACGCAAATTTAAAACTTTTTATTTAGAACATTTAGAAAAATTTTGGGTATGCAGTTTCGTAGCCCATTAAATTTTAGTAGGTTAAAGTGCACATTTCAAGACGCTAGAAAATCGCGATGATTTAAAATAATTTTTTTTTGCTGATGCTGCTAGGCGTTTTCTCCCATACATATGTATGCACAAACGAAATTGTCGAGCATATTTTATATGGAAGAAAATGCGCAACACCGTTAGCCAAAAAAATTATTAAAAATCAACGGGATCTTTTAGCGTCTTGAAATTTGTACTTTATCGAACTAAAATTTAATGGGCTACAAAACAGCATATCCAAAATTTTTATAAAAATTCTGAATAAAAAGTTTAAAATTTTCGAATGCAAATGTCAAAGTTTGTTGAATTTTCATAATTTTTGTACGAAATTTTAAATGTGAATTTATGTTGGGCTGGTTAGGTAAAGTGCTAGACTATTATAAAAAAAAAATATAAACATTAAGTGAGCAATAGAAAAATAGATAAAACTAGTCGAAATGTCACTTGACTTAATCAGCTGACCACAGGGGTATATAAAGATGAAATCTGTATCAACAGCTTTTCGGAATATTAATACATATCTAATCAAAAAGTATTTTTAACAAATTTCTCTGGCTGTAAAATTGTGCTATCTTTT